TAATCCCATATAAGGAGGTGTGGTCCAGTGCTTAATACTCGGGCATGCCTGGAGCCTCACTTACTCCTACTACAAGCATGCGGCCGCAACGTATTCGCGCCGCCCTACGTACTACCCCACAAGCTAGACCTACCGCCGGTCAGGTACAGCAAACGAGGGTCAGCCTACTAACCCTTGACCTACTCAAGGATACAAAGTCAAGCCGGATACCTATGCCGGCAGTACGATCAAAATGGTCAAAACACATGCGCGCCTTAAAGTTGCGAGCCCACACACTCCATCTATTTAGACAACTCTGGCCCATAGGCAGGTAACCAACTAAACATTCACAAGGCCCGAACCACCGGCCCCTCTGTCACTTGCAAAAACCAGGGCGGATACCCTTGGAAGGGTATTCGCGCCCGCGGCGTCCCCGTCGCTTCGCAAGATAAAAAAGCTATAGATCCGTCCACACACCCAAAATGCTGACGAGAAGGAACCAATCCGATTAGCCGACAGACTTTGGTTCGAGGCCTCCACCAGCCCATGCCCACACAACTATATGCTGTCAGGGTTTCAACCTGGGTCTCCATTGTTTTGACGCTAGGACGCCGGTGTACTACGCATCGGTACTACAACATAAGTTCCAAAGACCCTCATAACCGCCCTCTCCCCTTTATCCTAGACAAACGCCGACCTCTCGTTGGGTGTCCCTAGCCCTTACCCAATAAGCCGGGTCATAGCCAGGGACGCGGGCCCTAGCCGTGACCTTTGAAGGCAGCTTAGCCTCCCTCTCAAAAAAATCCTCACCATCAAGCATATACATTTATGCGAGTTCTTAAATCTCTCTCAGCTCCTTCTGCAGTCTAGTACAAAAGTGCTAGGTCTCCATCTTGGCCCACCATAGCCAGATCTACGGCCCACCGCATTGTTATCTTAGCGGCAGTGCCCTCGCAGGTTGCGCCACGATAGGTATTTTCCTGATAAGCATCTAATCAGGACTTCTCAAAAAAAGATTCACATGACTCGACTCTTATCCCACGCCGTTTTGCAGGAGTAAAGTCCTCCTGGGCGGCCATACCCTTTAAGTCTTTACTCCCGTGGTCAGACGCGGGTCCGCGGCCAGGTTGTGCCGATCGGCGGCCATCCCTAGGGGTTACGCCCTAGCGGTGCTAAAACTTTACCGTTTAGCTTGGTCTTTCTTATATGCCTTAAGATTAGCACAAGCGACCGGACGGTGTGTCGCAACAATACAGGTCTATTGCGGGACTACGCATAGACCTATCACACGTAAAGGTATTTACTGGTCCTCTGTGGGACAGCATAGAGAAAACATGGCAACCTCTCCACATTCACAAACAAAAATCACCGCCAGACTCACCACGCCGTGGCCTCCCAACTTAATCAGAGTAAGAATGTCACACATCTCAATGACATCTCTCAAAATCAAACGTTTTGCGACATTCCTTAAAATCTCACCAAATGACCATAAAACCTGGTCCCTCTCATCAGTCTTTTATCTTTCCAACCCAGCTTATCACACCATTAGATCTATTAACCCCCTTTTTATGCAGGGGCCTCACTCAATAGGTCTGCCAACCATCCCTATCTTTCTTAGGATGAACTCTCACATAACCCTTGTAAAACATCTGCCTTTCTCGAAGATGAGTCCTCCAAATGAGATATAAAGTACACCTCAACCATAAAACAACACAAAACGAGAGACCAACTTATGGGTCTCCAGCACAACTCAAACACTTAAACATTTGGCATGATAAGCTTCCGAGTCTCAAAGACTTATAGATCTCTTAGGATCTTCACAACCCTTTTTACAAAACAGACTGCGCTTCCCCTCCTTATACTCGGCCCTACCACCCGCTCTTGGGCAGACCGCACGAGTATACCGAAGAGTAAACTGTTCACACCCATCCGTAATCACACAATCTGAGCATATGAGATGTTTGTCACACATCCCTCACACAAATCATCATATATCAGAAAACCACACATGTGAGAGTGAGAGTGATCGTCAGACACAAGGAAGGTAGTCTCAAAGTCTCAACTCAGCATATACTAAGGAATAAACTGTCTCTCAAACCCCAATATCGGCACTCGAACGCCCTGTCCTTCTCACATTCGGTAGACTCATGTCCCAAGTGTTTTTAACTCCTAAGACTACAAGTAGAGTCTGAACACAAAAACGAAAATGTAATTGAGTAACCTGAGTATCGCACAGCTGAGCCTTCTCTCTCAAGTCATGACAAGAAAAAAATCACAAATCTCTACTGCACTCTCCCTCCTACTTATGTACAAGAGGTCAGGACGCATGCATCTGACTCGTACCATCTACATCTCTAATTTGCTCTTCCTACGCATAATACAGCCTACTCCTACTGACGTATAGGCAAACCAGCCCCTACTCACTCATCTCCTCCTGGCTTTGCCTATACAACTGAGCTCTACCACCATCAGGAGCTCTCTCTACCACTCGGCCCTGTCTATCGTACATCCTGCCATCTCGCTCAGTAACCCGTCCCTCAGCCCTGTCCTTGAGGAATTTAGGACACTCTAGGGCCTTAGGCACGCCATCCTGATTTTCTCTGAAACCTCTTCTTGCTTTTCTTGATCCTTGACGATGGAAGCGCCTCTTCCGTTTCCTTGTCCACCTCACGACTCTGGGGCAGGTGACATGGCCCCTCAGTTCTTTCCTCACGTCCCTGGGCACTCGATTCCCCTCGCTGCTCACTTCCCCCGGGTTGGTACGTAGGGGTATCCAACCTCACTGGCCTGCCCTCGCGGGTCCTCTCCATCACAACCACTTCCTCACTTTCACGAGGCTCCGAAGCTTGGGGAGTAGTGGCCCTAGTACGCTGGCTCATGGGCTCTTGCTGCTGTCGCTTAGTGGCCTGCCCTCCTGAGTCGGTCCCTGTGGCCCAGGAGCCCAACTGTGTCCTCAGCTCCTTCATTTCCGGCACGTCCTCCGGGGTTTCCAGCCTCTGAGGCCTCTCTGGTGGCATATCTACCTCCATGGCGGCTACCAACTCGTCTAGGCGCGACGACTCTTTCCCTTGTGCCTCAGGCTGAGGGGGTACCACTGCTCCAGTAAGGGTCCCTTCCTGTACTTCCAAAAGGATCGTCGGTGATTCCTCTGCCGCTTCTTCTTCCGCCAGTGCAGGCTGGGGCTCCTGAGCTGGTGTCCCCATAGGAGCGCTTGCTAAAGTCGGGGCCTCTTGCCGCGAGGCTAACTCAGTGGGAGCCTTGAACTCAAAGCTTCCTTTGTTGGCCTCTCTCCTCGCCTCCACCTCAGCCTGTTCTAGAAACACCTTCCCTAGCTTCTCTTGTTGAGATGCCTCTCCTGCCTCTTCCCGGCCAAACAGCCTCTGCATCCCCTTGCCTTGAATGCCATACCTGCTTTGCTCAGTCCAGTCGACCACCTTAGTGGCCGAGAGTCTCTCCACCGCAGTCGACATTTCCTTGAGCTTTTTGCCCCACTCGGCTTCCTTTGCTTCCAGGCGTGCCCTCCAGGCCTTGTTCTCCGCCCTTTCCTCTGCAAGTTGGGTAGTCAGCTGCTCCACCTCTCCCTTCCTGACCGCCAGCTCGTCACTGAGCAGGGTATACCTCTGAAAGGACGTGGTGGCTGCTTGCTTTATCCTTCTGTCCACTCGCTCGATGGCCCCTCTGGTGGCAGAAAATCCTAGCTCCCCAATCTCTATCGCCTCATCTGCCCTCTCAGTTGCCTGTCCCGTCTCCTGTGCCCTCTGGCGAGCGGCCTCCCTTCGACCCTCGTATCTGGCCCACAGCTCGTCAATCTTCTGCTCACTTGTCTTAGGGTCAACTGGCGTCGTCGGTGCTATCCCTGCAGCCTCCATCCTGTCCCTCCGCTCATGTATCTCCGCAAGGCGGGCCTGTATCCTAGTAGACTTCGCCTCAGCGGCCTTGTCCGGCACCCTTTCCGCTCTCACTCCCCTGGCCTCCCTGGCTGGAGCCTGCGTGCCCCTCTCGGGCTCAACGTGAGCCGGCCCAGGCGATGGCCTCGCCGGAATAGGCACCTCAATATCAGGGTGATCGGCTGCGTGGGCGGCTAGGCGCGAGTCAATGACCATACGGGGATCAGTCCTCCACCCCTCGCCCGGTCCCTGCGTCTCGACCTCCCGGCCGGGTGACCTAGTGGCTTCTGGCAGGGGTGTTGGAATTTCCTGGCTGTCTGGTTCCGGGACTCCCTCTGGCCAACGCTGCCGCACCTGCTCCGGGACTGGGGCACGAGGAGGGGTGTCACCCCCTATCATAAAAACCTCCACATCGTGCAACTTCCCCCGCCTATGTGGCTCGGTCTCGACCCCGGGGCGTGTCGGCTGCTCTTCTGATGGATCCGCTGGGCCCACTCCCACTGAAGAAGCTCCCCACTGGGAAGCGTCGAGATGGGATTCCAGATTCCTGAGTGGGGCATCCGGCAGTTCACCCTCCCCTTGCTCTGATAATCGTGGCGAAGGTCCCCGTAGGTCACTCTCAGTAACCTGACGGAACTCCACTTGCCTAAGCCCACAAGCAGGAAAGGACTCTATCGCCCGAGTAGGTCCGGCCCGTCCTCCTCCTCGCTGTGCCAAGGCCTTCCGGCCCCCCCTCGTTGCAATTGGCTCCCTTGGCTCCAAATCCCTTAGCCTTTTACACCGCCGCCTTCTTTCAACCTTGGCCTCTGGGCTGCTTGGTTCTGGCCGCCGGAATGCCTCCCTCAATTGAGCCCGGCAATCCTCCCAGTCATGTGCCCGATCCCGGATCTGCCTCGCTAACGGTCGCTCCGCCCCTCTGGTCCAAATGAGTAGAGTCTGCATCCACTCTTCCCTTTGAACCCCCTGGTCACTCATATACTGCTCATATGCCGGGATGAATTCCTCCGCGTTCCCTTCCTCCAGGCGAATAGGTAGCCCATTACGCCCCACAGGCGAAGCTCTCAATCTCTGCATCCTCGCCTCCACCTCTGGCCAGGCCAACGCCTCCTCCCTGATCTGTGCGATAGGCTCCTCAAACCTCCCAATCCCTCTCAAGTGTCGTATTCTCTCAGATACGTCACATCCTCTCTGGGTCGCATGGTCCCGGTAGGCGTCTAGGAAGAGCTCGATGTTGTCGTCATCAAATACGGGTGTAGGCTCCCTCCTGAAGGGCCCGTGCCGCTCCCCCTCTCCGGATGCCCCGAGAGGTCTCTGCCGTGGCCGTGTGTCCCTCTCGCCCCGCTGCATGGCTATCTTCAAGACGTCAGACCTGCACATCAGGCGGAAAGAAGCAATAGGCACACAACATGATCAGCATACAGGCTCAACAACCTTAGAGCAAACACACACCCCATCTCAGACACATCCAGCCCCTCCCTCTATTCATCTAGCCTAGCCATAATCTGCGATACCCAGAGAGAGGGTTTATTTAGAAAGGGATTGTAACTTTACCTATTCCCTGGCCACGAACTTCTTTAGCCTCGTCCCAGATACCCAATCTTTTCATATCCGTTCCACTTAGCTCCTCGATCTGGTAAGCCCCAAACTCGCCACATCGCACAATCCTGTAGGGCCCCAACCACATTTTCTCGAGCTTCCTCGACCACTGCTTCTTCAGGGAAGAGTCGTATAGCAATACGATGTCTCCAACTGCCAAAGGCTTTTTCCGCACTCGCACCATCTGATCCCACCGCATCTTGTCCTCCATTCGACTCCTCTCTACATACTTGGAGGCCTCTCGTATCCTTTCCTCAGCCGCGCCCACCTGTCGCGCCCGAATATCGAGCAACTCTTCGAGCGACAGGTTTGTCTCCAAGTCCTGGCGCCTCCAAATCTTTAGGAAACTCTCGATGGGGAAGGTGGCGTGCCTCCCATACCACAGGGTGGCAGACGCATACTTGGTAGTCCTCTTTACCGTGACGTTTTCCACGAAGAAAGTCGTTCGCAAAAACTTTGGTCACTGGCCGGGCCTACCTTCCGTCCACTTGGCTAGGAGGTTCGTGATGGTGCTATGACCCCTCTCCACAGGTGCATTGGTTTGAGGATGTGCAGCGGTGGTATAGTTTGCCACCACGCCATACCCTGCTAGCAAGGTCTGCACCTCGTTACAGGTGAATTCGGACCCACGATCCATCACAAACTCCTTGACGAAGGGGTAGCGCAAGTAATACTCTCCGATACAGCTGGCCAAAACGGGGCCGGTCTTCGTGCGAATAGCTCGCCCGTCCACATACCCTGTCAGGTTGTCTCGTGCATCGAAGATATAGTTACACCCATTTTTCGCAACTGGCATGAAGAATAGGTCCAGATGTACGATTGCACCCTCCTCACTCTCGAGTCTCGGGTGTAGGGGTTCCCTTGGCCTTTGCGCTGATCTCTCTTGACAAGGGACACAAGATTGGCAGTACTTGATGACCATGGTCAGCATTCCGTCCCATGATATAATTCGTTTATCTTTGCACATGTAATGCTGCTATAACGTCGATTTGTCGGTTCCTCCCACATACAATCCGCTTGGGGTTCCCGACCTACCGCTTTATGAACAGATGGTCATCCGTCACCACATAGAGATGCCTCAGCTTCTGAGCTTTAGCGTTTGCATCCCTGTCCCTCATCTCACAGGATAGGAGTAGGCCTAACTCAAGATAAATCTCATCGTACTCCTCTGCGCGGAACGCCTCTTTAATCTTCCCTTCTTCGAACTCGTCGTCCTGACTCTCAGGAATGAGGTCCTCGCCCTCAACTGGGCTTAAGGAGCGCTCTCGGTCAAAGTCCCCTTGCAGAAGCGTATTTGTGAGCAGGTACATCCCTCCCATCAGCTGCTCATGCTCTTCCACTTGAGTAGGGCCCTCCTCTATCGTCCTCACTTCTTCCACCATGCCATGCGTACCTGCCAGTGCCAACTTCATCATCCAAAGAACGTCATTGCCTTCCCATGGATCTTCCTCCTGAAATGGCTTAAGCACTAAATCAGCCTTCTGCTCGTATCCTCTTGGCGCTATCCATATGGGGTGGCTGACACAGTTGGGCACTCGCAAGGACCACTTGTTTATATGGAGTCGGACGTCCTCTTCCTGGTCCAAGAATCCGTCAACTGGTGGAGTGTCTTCAATTGACTCCTGACCCAAGCTGTCCCAGTCAACGCGGCTCAGGCCATCGGCCCTGTTTTTGTTCCCTGGAATCCTTTCCAACTCAAAGTTGAACATCCAAATATACGTCAACCATCGAGCGACGGTTGGGTCAGATGGAGTATAATTTTTTAGGGAACAAGCAAATGTTGTGGGGGCTACCCTCAATATGAATCTTCTTCCGAAGACGTAGTTCCGGAAGATCCTTAGGCAGTGGAGTACCACTAGCGTCTCCTTCTTAAACTGAGAGTAGTTCCTCTCAGTCGTATTAAGAGTTCGACTTTCAAACCTTAGCGGGCTCTCCTTCCCTTCAGCATCTGCCTGAATTAAGACTCCTCCCAAGGCAATCGGCCCAGCGTCCGTCTCGATGATGAACGGCTTTTCTTCAGTCCCCTCATAGTTTGGCGCTCCCAGTACTAATCCTCCTTCCTTGAATTCCCCCTTCATCCGGGTCACCGCTTCTTCCTGGTCTTCACCCCAAACCCATTCCTGGTCCTGGCGCACCAGTTTCCTTAGATACTCAGTCTTGGCGGCGAAGTCTTTCACGAAGCTCCCCCAAAATCCGCAAGTGCCAAAAAAACTCCTCACATCCGTTATGGAGTGAAAGGGTACTGACCACTCTAAGATTTGTTTGTCTTTTTCAAATCTGGCCTCCGACCGCTCTCGTTACAGACAAAACCCAGAATGGTAGTTTCTTTCATGCAGTGCTTGGATTTTGGCCCACGCGCAGTAAGGTTGTACTTCTCTAACAGGCTCAAGACCCGATCGAGGTCCTGGATGTGCTTCCAGACAAAACGCTTTACTCCGGGCATGACTTCGTCCTCCTCTTTTTCCTTTGGACCTTTGACCGCCAAGTCGTCAATGTAGGGTTGAGTGATGTGTGGACTGACTGTTTGCATGGCCCCGATCATGTGTCGTTGCACCATCGCCACTGCATTAGTCCAACCCTGAGGGGCCACATTCATATGAATCAGCCCCCTTGGCGTGTGCATCGTCGTCATTGGCCTATCAAGCGGGTATACAGGAAACTGGTCATACCCAGAACAGAGGTCTATACGCGAAATCATAGGCCTTCCTGCGCATGATTCTGACAATGCATCCACGTTCGGTAAGCCTCCCGCGTCTCGCACTATCACCGCATTCAACCGCTGCAAATCTTGTACCCACCGTAGCGTCTCGTTTGGCTTAATGAAACAAAACCAAGGGGACGCATACGGCCCGCTAGAATAGCCAGCAACATGCGTGCGCATCTTGCCATCCAAATAGTCCACCACTATTTTCTCCTCATCGGGATTCTGGTATCGCGCGCCTCTTAGATTCCAAGGTTCGTGGGGGACGGTGTGGATTCGAATCATCGGGATTTTGTCCACATCCAGCCTCCCACGCTCATCATCATTGAACGCATACGCGCGATGCCTCTTCTTCATTAGCTGCACCATCAAAGTCTTTTCTTGGGGTGAAAGGAAACCCGACTATCCAACTATCAGCTTTCCTTCATTTTCCTCGTTGATACGACATGGATCGTTTAGCGCCTGCTCTCGCATACGCCGTATCAACCCTCGCTCCCGCTCGTAGTAAACCTCCTCATCTTCCATAACGAGCATGGGAACAGGGCGACACTTCTTATCTATCGTCTTGTACCGCCTTTGAGTGCCCTGCTTAAGCCGTCCCCTAAAAAATGTTGGCTTGTTTTTTGTGCCTGTGCCATCGTAGGCCCTCCTCTTCCCCCGGGAAGCCGATAGATCAATTCCACTTCTCCCACTTGCGGGCATTCAAAAACCTGCTTCCTTAGCGCCTTGATGGCCTCTGGATCTTCCATCTCGTGCGCCGCCACGATCTCCATAGCCTTGTTTACGTCTGTAAGGCTTAGTGACAGCACCTCCGCCCCACCTTCCTCCTCGAGTTCCTCCCAAAGTCTCCGCCGCTCATTCTCTGACTCCACATAGGTGAACGAGCTGGGGTTAGGCCTATTCCGCTCGCTCCTTGGCCCCGTATTCCGGCAGGTGATAACTTCATAGTTCCCACAGGCCGGATCACTCAGGAGCAGTATCATCGTTCCATCGTGCTTATTGAAGATCAAGGTCTTCGTCCTGCACATGAACGATCTACCCAGGAGGATAGGATGGTCAACGTCCGGCATGACGAAGAAACAGGTCCCCGCCCGCACTTTGCCGATCTCTATAATTACATTTGATGCCGTGCCGCAAAAAACTGCCTTACAATTGGCCCCGTGCGGCACGCCATGATCCGCACGGTCAATCTCCAGACCGAGCATGAGCGCGTCCCTTTCTCTGATAATGTTCATTTCGGCGCCCGTATCCATCATTGCAACACACTTTTTCTCTTTCACCAATCTGCATGTCGCGCACTTCCAGTCCATCCTTGTTCCAGCTTGCGTCCACCCTACCTCCCTCGGCAGGATCGCACTCAAATGGACGTTGGGTACCAGCCTTCGAGACAGTCATCCTTTCAGTGTGTCTCGCAGTCTTGGGGGGGATGCCAGAATGTCCTTCAGGTTCATAAGGTCATTATGACCTTCAAGGAGCCTGTCCACCATCCTCTCTACATCGAAGGCTTCCTCTAACCTGACTGTGTACTTTCTCTTCTTAGGCAGACCGTCTTGTGGGCCCGGCTCAGCTTCCTCCTGGGCCCCTCTCCGTTGGGCTCTTTGCTCCGTCCTCCGATCTTCCTCTTGACGGAGCCTCTCATCTTCCGTATCATCATCCTCCTCTTCTTCTTCCTCCGGGACCTCAACCACCTCTTTCCTGCGCTCGAGCTTGGGTCTCTTTCGAGGAGGCGCTTGACTCGGCGCCTGACGTGGCACCTGACTGGGGCCAGCCTTACTCTGACTCTTGGTTTGTGCCGCTTGTGGCGCCCGTCCATGTGGTGTAGGTGGCCTGAATGTCATTCCCGACCTAGGGCCCGACCCCACCGTCGCGACCCCGGGATAGCTTTGTTGCCCTGATGCCGGTCCTGGCCCGGACTCATAGAGGAAGACTTTTGGGAGGTCGGCTTTTCATCCTTGAACTTCCTCACACAGCTCTTTTAGTCTTTGCTGGTATCTTCCCAACTTTCCCAGCAGGTCTTCCATTTTCTCTAGAGTAGTTATGACTGCTTCTCCCACCCCTTGGGAGTCCTTGTCATCCGACTCAACGATTATTGGCTCCTCTTCTATAGTCCCATCCTTTGGTCGCTGAGTCACCTCCTCACTCTCCCCCGTGACCTCTTCAATCCTCATGGGCGGGTCTTTCCTCTCTTGCCACAGCCTGAACATTGTCGGGGGCGCCGGCCCCGTTGCTGCACGCCTTTGAGCTTCCAGTCTAACCCCGCCTGGGATCTTCGGATCGATATACTTCCCAAATTTATCATATATGTCCCCATCCATATTTGTGGAGATTAGGCCTGCAAGCTCATCGTCCCGCCGCTGCTAACAAAACCGAATAGTGTGCCCCACAACGCCACAATGCCGGTAGGTGGCACTTCGCCAATCAAAGCGGGGCCTCCCATACCCTTGGCCCCCCTCTTGGCTGCCTTGGTTACCTTGGCTCTGGCCCCCTTGGCCATTCCATCCACCACCGCGCCCCCCGCCGTTCCGTCCTCGGCCGCCACCTCCTCGACCTCCTTGTCCCCGACCACCATTGCCTTGTCCTCCTTGCCCTTGAGCTCCTCCTCCTGCCACGCTAGCCTGCGAAGCTTGTTGCGAGGTAGGGGGCTGGGCCACGAACTGACCCTCGGTTCCTGGGAAATTTGGCGGCCCTGTGCTCACCGATGGGCCCGAATATGGGACCATCTGCCCTGAATGGGCTCGGCCCGTTCCACATGAATTGCAGTGGTTACAGCCGGGTCAGGGTGCCATTTGGCAATACGGCACCCAATGTCCATAGACTGGTGGCGGCCCCATTTGCGATGGCCCTGCTGATACAGGCGCAGTCATGACGGCAGTCGATGGGGCAGCAATCGCTTGCGGGACCTGTCCCTTTCCAGACCCTTGACCTCCCAGCAACAAATTGCGCTGCTTCCGCTGGGCCTTAGTAAGGGCTTGGGACCCTATCTCCTCCTCACCGTAGTCTTCCTGCATAGCTTCTTCAACCCCCGTCTCTTTTCCTCGACCTTGGACTACGGCTACCACCTTCTTCTGTGCCTCGGCATCCTGACCATAGCCTAGCGATGCAAGCATATCGGTAACGATCGTCTTTACTCCCGGGGTCCCTGACGCAGTGGTGTCCCTCTCCTTTCTTTTCCTTCTTTGCAAACGCATTTGATGTTGCTCCACCTGGTCCAAGCTCCCATCCTCTACCCCCTTGTCAATAGTGGCCCAGGTAAGCTTGGCGCTGCCTCCTCCATGACTCGTCAACTCGGAGGCCTCTGATGCAGTAAGTAGGCCCAAAAAGATGGCACATTGCGCCTCCTCTGAGATCCCGTGAACCTTCCTCGCCCTTTTCTTGAATTCTTGTACAAAGGCCCCTATCGTAGTGAAGTCATCTTTGTTCATTGCCTCGAGATCGGCGGTGGTTAGCAACCCATCTCCCAGCCGGTACTTGCGCTGCATGCCCTCTCTGAACCTCGCCCAGCTACTGTGGGCGGCATCCACAACCTTTTCCACCTCTTGATGATGCCTGTGAAGTACGTATTTCAGAATTCGCTGGAACTTCACCTCATCCGACAAGCCCACCATCGCTTGCTCCACCAGATCCAGCCAGTCTGAAACTCTTTCTCCACTGAAGTGAAAGGTATCAACTTTTGGGACATTGCTTGGAGTCTTCTCATGCCGTTCAATGACCGCGATAAGGTCCTCGAGCGTCAGGACCTTCCTGGTGCCATCCGATATACCGCCGCTCTCCGGCATCTTGACAGACCTTTCTTTTCAAGCTTCTTGTTAGAAGAAAAACAAGGATACTCACCTATTCAGCATCCTATCTCAACAAGGTCTATCCTGTATGTCCTATCTAGCTTCCTCATATATTTACCTGAAGCGGATACGACCGTCCCTCATAGTCTTCCTAGGTCAGGTAGGCAAACTAACGAACATATAAAGTTACTAAGCCTCCCTTACCTACACTCAATCACCTATTATTCGCCCTACCCTCTCGTCATTCCTTTATGCCTTTTCCCATTCAGTCTCATACCCGGATGTTGTTCCACCAGGGACAACAGTAGGCTTCCGTTATCCCCGGCAATATCGCCACCTATCGAGCACATTGGTCCGGCACCGCACCAGGGCAGCGTGGGACCCTCCTCACCACGTCACGCAGGAGTTGGTTTGAATCCTTCGTCGCGAATGTGCATGGAGCTTCCGCAAGCCACTTCGGCCGAGTGCGCCAGCCATACCTCCCACGAGCCCCTACGACAGGATAGGGCCTACGCGAGGCACGACTTACCTCCACCTTTCGGGAGTTGTCACCTCCCTTTCTGTGGGCGTATCCCCGCCGAGCCACCAGTCCATAGTATGAAAGCTAATCAGTTGCAATCGCAGAGGTGGACCAAGCGAGGGCGTTTCTCGTTCGTTCTAGCATAGGGGGTACGCGCGGTAATACGCCTCTATCGGACACGTACGCGAACCGACGTCTCGGGGGGGCTGAGGTCCCAAGCGCGACTCGTCGTCGATCGACTAGGACGTATCCCACTCGCCACGCATACCTTACTCTACAAACGCAAAAATAAAACCCACATACGCGCACATTAAACAACGCGACAACACTCCTAGTCCCTTTAGTAGCCATCCCATAACCTTCGGCTGCGGAAGTTAGATAGGCGTCATGCGCGTGACTTAGTATAAAACCGCGCGGACGCTGGGCTAACTCATATCGACTCGCAATGCAAGTGTACGCAAACGGTCGCAATGATGGCGTACTATGTGGTACCCATACATGCGCGGTCCTCATTAATCTCGAGGGTCGCTTTCGACACTCAAGTGTCGGCTGACACGCGCCTGGAGGGTTAATCTCTCGACGCCGGACAACCCCGAAGCGGAGTTGAAGACCACACACCCTCTTCTGCACTGTGTGCAGAGTGGGTGGTACACAAGTCCATATCTGTGGTGGCAGTCGTTTCTTACTGCCCTGGAGATGAGCCCCACTCCATGCCTGGGCAGAAGTCAAGGGGTTTGACTTTGACGGCTGCCACGGACTACAACGTCCAACTATGTAAAATCCTAAAAAGCAAAAATAGGCCGAAGATCCACCTATCTCAGAAGTCATAGCCTTGGGTACCCCTTTCTGTTGGTACCAACGGCCTATAATAATCCCAAACATTCCTGCATACGTGCGTCCCTTAAAGCCGCGCGGTTTGCAGGCCAGTCCTATACCAACCAACGATGGTAGGCATACGTGGTAATCACGGCTCCGACCTTGCGATATTGAATGGCTGAAGGAATATATCGCGAGGGGTTATCCCCCACGATATTGAACGGTTGAAGGACATGCCGTTCAACCCTCGCGATATTTCCGCCATCAGGGTTGGGTGTCTCGACGGCTATGAATCCCCCTCGGCGGCGGCCATCCGCGGACAAGTCCGCGGCCGCGGTCTAGGCCGCGACCCCGCGAACGCGTCCGCGGTCCTCGGCCATGAAAAAATAATAATAAAAAAATAAAAATAAAAAGATCAAAACATTTTGAAAAAAAGATATGTTATGCAGAAAAATATACTGAACAACTTTTGCCCAGTGGTCATATCCAAAAACGTTACTGAATTTAAAATAAAAAATCACATACGTTTCATATTTTTTTTTTGAAAAAGAAAAAACAAACAGCTTTTGCCTCAGGAAAATTAGTTTTTGAATTTTTAAAATTCGAAGACGAAGTCAAAAAAAAAAAAAAAAAACATTGCGCAATTTAGATCTCGAAAAGATCTACAACCCCATATTTTTTGTTTTTTTTTTTGATAAAGTTTTAAGGTCACAAAAAATTCCTGAAAGTCACGGCCGCACCCAACCGCGGCCAAAGCCGAGGCGGCCGTGTTCACGTCCGCCCTCCGAGCTTGACCCCGCGGACGCGTCCGCGGGTGTTTCATAGCTCGACGGACAAGGCTAATAGGCTCTGCGCTAGGGCTTGGGATGTCCTGGACAAGGACCTTGAATCCCGGCCCAAGACCAACGTCCGACTAAGAATTTAGAAAAAGTATACAATCAAGACGAAGGGGTTTTCTGCCTACCTTACCCTTATTTCACCCTTAATACGCTGGCCCCTCAGCCATGCGAACTTCCAACATAGGTACGCACATATACACGTATATAATATGTGACGATCATATCTCACAATGTTTGTGGGGTTTTTCACACCCATACGTATATATGTGGTCGCAGGCAATCAGAATCCAGAATCTGACCCACAGAACATACTTGCAATCACATCAAAGAATCAAACGACAGTCCACGCACTACACGGGGTCAACCCCAACCACTCCCTGCACTCATACCCCTTGCTTTAGCCATGCAAGCCTCAATCTCATGTCCAACTAACCATAATTAAATACTCAGTATCTTTGTTAAATGGTCATTCAATAAAAGTCGGGTGAAACCTTAACGAAGCAATAAAATCACCAGGGCTAAAGCCTTTTAGGTTGAGTGTGGGGGGCGTGAATAGGAATTGAGTTGTAGTCCGACGAATCGACAACCGACCTGTTATCGGTGATAACAGAAGGTGATCCTCAAAGGATCAGGCTGAATCTAGTCCAAGTCCTGAATTAAATCGATCAAGCTGGCCTGTAACATAAGACAGGTCAATGCCCAATACTAACCCTATGAGTCTTATGGGGAATAGTCTCTATATCGTGGTCTCACCCAAGCTTCTGGTAGCCAACCAGATCTGAGTCTACTTCTAGTCAGTGCCCAAGGAAGGGGTAGACCTTTGGCTAGATCTCTTGCATACAGTGTGGATTACTAAGTCCGCCACGTGCCAAAACATAATCTAACTCCTCTACATTAGAAAAATTTTGATAACGCTTCCCGTAGGAAAAGTGTCTTTCCAAGATTTATACAAGCCCAGATACGAAAACCAAAGTAGTCTCTTGACTTCCCAAGTTCAAATTTTGTCTAACTCCCTGGATTAGCAAAAATTTGGGCAGCACTCCCTTTAGAAAAGGGGACTTCCCAGATTTCTACTAAACCATATATGAAATCCAGATAAGTTGAACTTTTGGGAAGTCAAAATTTGACTGACTCCTTGGATTTGCAGAAATTTTGGCAGCGCTTCCCGTAGGAAAAGTAGCTTACCAAAATTTATACAAGCCCAAGTATAATAAATGATCTCAGGAAATGCAAAAATTGATCTAAGTAAAAAACTATCATATAAAATGCAGGAATTGAATCTAACTCCCATCGCTCTAGCACGTGGCGAGCCTCTAAAGCAACCGCCTGTCAAACTGAAAGTCAGACTAAGTAGTGATCTCATTCAGCCACATGCAAGTCAGACCACAAAGGTAAGTACTATCACCAACCCCAAGTTGACTTAGCAAACAATAGTTCATAGTCTTTCAATGATTTAATCCCTTATACCCTGCTTACATAGGGCATTGAGATCGGCCATTCGTCTTAGAAACAATGCCAACTCTCTGCCTTAGTTATACACGAACAGGCTGCACAACTACTTTTCTCTTCATTGGGCATATGACTAAGCCATTTGTCTTAGAAACAATGCTTGGTCGCCCTGAACTGTTTAAATAACCAAGTTATATATATTTTTCTGAACTTAGTCTTCACAGGTGGGCGTAGGGATGAGCCATTCGTCTTAGAAACAATGCTCAACCCCTTTTTTCTCAGCACAAAAAAAACAGAGTACCCTGGGCCAAGACCCGGAGACTGTTCAGAAACCACCCAAAGTAAACAGCGACCAGACCATACATCTTAGAAACAATGTCCGGTCCTCAAAACTCAAGCAGCCAGAATCCCACAAAATAAGTAACCAGACCATACATCTTAGAAACAATGCCTGACACAATTAAAAAACCACAGCAACCAAGCCATTCGTCTTAGAAACAATGCTTGACCCTTTAGAAAACAGAACAAAACACGGCAGTCAGACCATTCATCTTAGAAACAATGCCTGATCTTATAAGATCCGTTCAATCGCAAGCAAAACTGCTTTCCTCCCAACCTTCCCCCTGATGCAACCCCTTGTGACAATCTGCTTTTAGACAAGCAAAGAAACTGAAACTGCCATTATACATGCATTCCTTTATTTGGCCTGATTTGCGTCCTGAAAGTCAACCCAAAGTCAAAATAGGGGTGCATATAACACACTCAACCAATCCGTAGGGGGATATATAGATAGGGGTTATACAGGGATTATAAGGGAAAGCAATGGTTACCTCTGAGTTCCCTGCCTCCAGAACTCCTCCTGAGTTCCGGCAGAGCTCCCACAATCGGTGGGGCGAACCTCCCACAGAGGCCTTGGCACGGATTACGGGTTGCAATCCCGCCTGCCGCCTTCCTCTCAGAAGCAATAGACTAGACTTTGGAGTAGGAAGGGCAGAGGTAGGATCATTAAGTCTCTCAGATACAAGAGGGGTGCACTCAGACTCGCGTGAGAGGGCCTTCAACTCTTCAGCACTTGAGGGCCCCGCAATGGCGGCCAATGTAACAGCTTGGTCAACCAAAGTCAAACTGCCGAACCCAGCCTTCCTGACGAGCTCCCAAACCGCAGTGAAACCTCCCCCCTCCTGACGCGAGCTCAGCCACCCGTCCACACTTCCCCTTAGCCCAAACGCTGCTAAACAGCCAGCTGTAACGGCTGGTAACAGTCGGGGGTGGTATGCGATAGCACGCAGCAACCAACAGCAGACAACAGCAATATGCGGCTGTCAGCAGCTGGTCATAGTCTGTGCGTAGTCAAAAAGGAAGTGGTAGCTATGCACCGCGGGCTACAGCAGCAGCCTCTCGCGCACAACTGATAGGAGCAGCAGCCGTGCAGTCCACAGCGGCAGTTTCCCCAGCCTGTAGAGATCAGCAACCGCCAGCTGCAGTCAGCAGCGACTCTCCTTGGCGGAT